TCTTAATTAATTTTATTTAAAAACAATAACAAATTTTTCTTTTTTAATTTTGTATATAATTAACTCTTTATTTGTTTAAGAATTTGCAATATTTATTATATTATCAATTACACTTATAATAACATTAATTAAATAAAAAAATCTATGAGTTATTTTAACGTTCAAAATAAATTCTTATTATTTCGTAGTATTTTCGAATCTATATTATACGTATAAAAACACTTATTCGCAATCAGCTTTAGCATTTTAGCATTAAAGATAAATCTTAATTTAATATAATACTTTTTTTGAATGAAATCTTTCATCAAGTTTAAAAGTAAGATGTGTTATTGAAACTGTTATTGAAATTCAAATTCAGCGTTGAATATCGCTAGATTTAACTATTTTAGTATCTAAATGAGAGACATTAACTACTCCCGAAATCTATTGTCCTATTTGCCTTTTTGACCAATTGATTTCTCTATATATCCCTCAGTGATTGATGTCGACTTCTATCCGCCATGCCTTTTCAATTGAGCAAGGTCTGCTTCAGTATCTGTCAAAATGGTGGTCGATGTTCTCCGAAAGGAGGAACCAGTGTAAGAATCGGGATCAGTTAACTTCAGAAAAGTTGCAATTGTCTTCGGAAGAGCTGGAAATGTATTTATGCTGATGTTTTGATTAATACATTTTTCATTCCTGTATTTGATGAAAAAGTGATCTGTAGTTGCATTTACAGGACGAAGATCTTGATATTTGAAAAGTGGTTACAGAAATTCTTCTTCGATTGTAAAAGTCCTTGTCATTCCAGTTTTAGTTTTGATGATTGTTATTATCATGACGTCCTCTCGGTTTCGTATATCTTTTACGGTCAAAGACGGTAACTTCTCAGATCTGCAGGCTCCGCTGATTACAACAATTGGAATAACCTATAAATGTTTTGATATAGATAGTTTATAGTAATGTTATATTTTTCGTAAATTTAATAGAATAAATAAACTATTCGACGCCCCCCGTTGATAAAATGTTTATTAAAAGCCAGAGGAATAAAATGCTAATTCAAAAAGAGTGATATAAGAATCTTATTGAAAATTTTGTGGAAAATGATTCTTATTCAATTGTTTGTGTAATAAAATGCTTTTTGAAGTTGCGTGTCATAAAATGCTAATTGAATCGAACGTTCAATATAAGGTTTATTCAAGCATATATGCAATAAAATTCTAATTCCACTTTTAATACATTATAACGTTAACGTAAGGTGACATTAGAGTTATTCTTTAATTAATATGTAAGTTAATAGATTGTGATGGTTGTAGATTCCTGAATTTAAAAATTAAGAATTATCATTAATGTTACTCAACGTATTTTATGAAATTTCTAAAATTAATTGTTACATCCCGGTAACAATTTTCCCTAATTTTCCTTAAAATTATCATTAAAATAAGACATTTCATATAATTCTATGATAATTTTACTATATTTAAACTATATGTCTTATTTTAATGTATTTATTTATGTATATGTGTCCTGACGCGGTGAAAGGGACCTTATGGTATAATAGCAAATTGAACTTTTGAATGTTCATAATAAAAAACGAATTGAACAAAATAATTTCTAGTTTTTGGAAATGAAAGAGCAACTCAAATAATTTGATTTCCAAAAATTAGAAATTATTTTGTTCAATTCATTTTTTATTATGAACATTTAAAGTACAATTTGCAATTAAACCATAAGGTCCCTTTCACCGCGTCAGGACACATATATTGATAGAATAGAGCGTGGAAACGAAATCGATTTCAAAAGAGATATGACATTCGTTTTCACCATAAAAGTTCAGAGAGTTGAGAAGCTAAAAATAAGATATATTCAAACAAAATGTGAAACAAGTTCGAGCTTGTTTGTTTATACGCGTGAAGAATGTGAAGATTGTAAAGATCCAAGTGTAATATGATCTACAAAAGCCCATTGTCAGCATATAAAAGAGAGAATTCAGAAAGAAGGAGATTCAAGTCATATATGCGATGTAGATCATTACCATATAAGGAAAGCGATTCTATTTATACATCACCCCCTCCTCAATAATGACATTTTTCCCACTAATTAGCATAATCGACTAGTATATAAACAAGAGCTTTTTCCATAAAGCTTGTCAAAAGTTCCGGTGCAATCTCTAACATCGTTGAGCGACCCTTCAGTTTACTTTCGCCCTAATTATTGTATTCTTTCCTGAAAGCCAATAGGTGCAAGTTAGTTTGACTTTTCACTTAGAACATAGTTCTTTCCTGATAGCCAATAGGTGCAAGTTAGTTTCACTTTTCACTTAGAACATAGTTCTTTCCTGATAGCCAATAGGTGCAAGAAAAGCAAATTAACACTTAGGATCAATAATTTAATAGAAATAACTGTCGTATTTATAACTATAATTACTAAAGAAATCTTGCATTATTTTTTTCCCAAATTTATCAATTTATAACGACTAAGCTATAATCATGGATTTAGCCGACTTCATCGCTAAAAGTATGTAAAAGAATTGTAAACTTGTATCATTATTGTATAATCATTACTATATAATTATTATTTAAACAATAAATGTCATAAAAGGGAATATTTGACTTGTTATTGTAACGCAAAACCCGTAGTTTTGACAAGTGACCACGATCCTACATAAAATAAATATCATGCTTTACTAACCTGATTAATCAGCCTTATTACCTTCAAGTAAATAAAATTCATTTTATTTAAAAACCACGTTTAGTTCGGAACGTAACATTAATTTAAAAATAAAAAATGTAGAACTCTTTTTAATATTTTATTGAATCTTATGTACACATTGTGAATTTTATTGCATATTTGCTTGAATAAGCCTCATATTGAACGTTGGATTCAATTAGCATTTTATGGCACGCAACTTCAATAAGCATTTTATTACACAAACAATTGAATAAGAATCATTTTCCACAAAATTTTCAATAAGAATCTTATATCACTCTTTTTTGAATTAGCATTTTATTCCTCTGGCTTTTTAATAAACATTTTATCAACGGGGGGCGTCGTATTGTTTTAATATATATTTTCAACATAAATAATTTAAAATGTTTAAAATCAGATTTAAATATGTTAGTGGATTTCCTCTGTAATTATAGAATAAGAATAGGTCTTTTTAAGCTACTTACCTTTTTTACAAATGGTCCTGATCGGAAGCTTTTTCAAGATAATTCTTTAGTTCCTCCAATGTAAAAACTCCGGCTATTTTACTTTTGTAACCATTAGATTTACGTTTTAAAAATGCTGCTTATTCTGCGTATTTATCTAGTTTGACACACTTATCTTTGAGGTTAAGACTCATTCGAAGCATTGAATATCTAGCCGATAGTGACGATGGTTTATATTTTTCAGCTAATTGACCAAAATACGTTAAAACAACACTCTCGTTTACTTTTTTTGACATTATTCTTTTCCATCCAAATAATGAATAAGTTGTATTCAGCCTTGTATTTTGCTTTTGACTTAGAAGGAAGCAAACATTGGCGCAGTTTTTTAGCAGCAGCAACGATGCTTCGTTTTCGCTCATTTTTTAAAATAAACACAAATTACAATCACTGAAATAAAACGAGGAATGCTGTCTGATTCTAAATACGTAAAATAGGTTAAGTACGCGGTATCCACAGCCAGGCGCACACTTTGCCACTTAACTGCTTCTTGCACTAAGAGATGGCGCCACATTCGCTTCTATTATTACCACTGATGTTTCTATTATTACATTCGTCTGAGTAAAATAATAGCAGGAGTGAAATAATGTACAGTTTAGCACACTTTAAATACGTAAATAAAGTGGCTGTTATTTCAAAAATGTGGAAAAAAATTTAAACTTAACATCATATACATAATAGTGAAATTTCTTTAACTGTTAATATTATTGTTTAAGGGGTTAGTACCACATCTTTTTTCGTAACTTTTCTCGTAAAATACAGTAGCTTCTTATATATATATAACACACGAGATAGCGCGCCCTCTTGTTTACTATATAAAAAGTAAGTGACATTTCTTATGTTGAAAGTTTTTTTTGCGCATCACATTCGTGGAGATATCACGCATTGTTTTTAATCACTGTATAGCTAAATATGTTTGCATAGTTAGCTTTTTGAGTGCCTTTGATATTCCGAAAAGATTGTGTGATTTATTTACATTATGTGGGTGTCACGCTATTCCGAGCAAAATAGCGTGTTTGGGGGAATGTGCAACACTTTTTTGGGGTGATATGCAATACTCACTTTTTGATATTGTATCGCTATTTTATGACTTAAAGTGTGTATAAGAAAAAAACTGTTGCACATCACCCCACAACACCCTACCTATATAGATTTATATAAAACTACAGATATATGGATACAAAAGCATATATACATGTATATAATATATCCTAAAGCGTAAGGGGGTATTTTCTTGAAAAATAACATGTTTTCATAAATTTGCTTTTTCTTAAACTATGTTCTTTGACCTGGCGGACATCCTAAAAAATCTATTGCACCGATTAAGCTCAAATTTTTATGGCATATATACCGCTATCGTCAGAACTACAATCATAATTTTTTATTAATATTTGACCATTTTTTAAAACAATTTAAGTTTAAAAAAAGGTCAAAAATGAAAAAAGTCTGTCATTTTGTTTTTTTTCATCGAAAATAGTTTATCGTAGTTTGGAGGATAGCGACAAGTTTACTTTTCAAGAAAATGTCAAAAATCTTATTTTTCGATTACCTAAATTGAGGATATGGTGTCCGCTAATCACAAGTAAGAGTATTTTTAGTTAGCCATGCAAGACAGCAAGATAATCCACAATAGATAAAGAATATAAATATTTAATAGTTTAAACCCCCTTCTTTTAGGTAAAAAAATGTTTTAAAAAAGTCACTGAAATGTGGTACCAACCTCTTAAGAAAATGTGTATTAATCTATAATGTCGCACTTTCAGAAACAGGTCTTTATCGTCTTTGAATGATTAAAAATTTTAAAAAACTTACAAATACTCATTAACAATTATACTGTGGTCTTTTAGCCGTTGCCCAGGAATACAGTGATAAAGAAGATGAATTATTTGACCAAAGTAGTAAGTGACATATCTAATCATAAGCTCCATATCATTACTTTTTAATATGATCTGCATAATAATTCATTAATTTATGAGATAATCTATTAACATTATTTACTGCATATTCAGGCCTCGGACTCACTAACTCAGTGAAAAATAGTGTCAAAAGTGGCATAAAATGTTGAAAAAAGTGGCATATTACTTATTAACATGTATGTATAAATATTTATTTATATATGTATATATTTAGTATACACTATAATTGTAAAAAAACGAAATTAGTAATTTTCTTAACCCGTATTTATTTTAAAACCATTTTAAAACTGGATTAAATTAAACAAATGTGGAATATTATATTTGTAATTTGAAATATATGGGACGATATCGAATTTTTTCTTTTTTGAATGGCCTATTTAATAAAAATAAAAAAAAACGATTTTATTTATTATATTTATTATATTTATTTCATTGAAAAAATAACGGCAATTAATACTAGAAATTAAAATGATAAATAAAGTAAGTATATAATAAAATATATAAATATTATTATTAAATTAACAAATGTTTAATACATTTAAAAAATTTTATTCATCTTTTCAATAAGTATTTTCATATTTTAAATAAATTTCATAAAATATAACAATAATAACATTGATTAATTAACAAATAAAATATAAAACACAAAATTTATATTTAAAAGCATTTTGAAAAAGCCCGCCGTTTTTCAACTGTTTTTCAACTCATAAAAACAGTCGAGGGTTAAGAGCAAGATTTTTTTATTCTCTGATAGTTGGTCGAGTACGTTCTCGGTTAGGGTCTTTAGTTAGTGTCTGTCGAACCCGGGTTCAATTCCCAGTCCCCTCAAATTTGTTTCGAAAATTTTCTCGTTAAGTTTCCAAATGAAAATAAACAGGACATAATTAATAATAATAAACGTCACAAGGATTTTCAAATTTAGAAAACAAATAAATTTTTTTTAAATTTAAAATGTATTTTTTAAAAATTGCAGCAACCTTTCCAGAAGCTTGTTAAAATGCTCCTGCAACCTTACGTAATAAGCTTACAGCAATCTTTCACGGCAAGCTTGCCGCAATCATTCTTAGTAAGCTTGCAGCAATCTTGTAGCAATCTTTCATGGCAAGATTGCAGCAACCTTTCCTGGAAAGCTTACAGCAAGCTTTCACGGCAAGCTTGCCCTGGGTGGGACATTTCGCTAGCTCAGACAGACAAACTTGCACGGTAAGCTTGCCGCAAGCTTGCTGCAAGTTTCCGTGCTATCTGGGTTATAGTCATTTCGGATACCGAAATTTACTAGCTATTGAGCTCGTAACCGGAATCCCCAGTTCTGGTATCTTTTTATTTTTTACTGGGTAACACACTTGGGTTCCAAAATTCCATTTAAGGGAGATATTAATGCCCATGGATTACACAGCGTTTCTAATGTCAAACTAAATATTGGATTCATAGCATAACCAAAAGAAGTTACCCTTATCTTTTCTTTTTTCAAAATAATTTGTTTAAACAATTTAAACAAATATTGATTTTGAAAAATAAATACCCCCATTTGAAAGAACATTTAAAAATAATCAACTTTTCTCTTTACATCTATTTTATTCGTCCACATCTTTTTGCAATAAATAATTACTTTCGAATGGTGTTATTGGTTTTTTAAAAATCGATTTCTTTTTATTAAATTGTTTAAAAAAATTAAATAAACAAATTATTTCACAACAAGAAATAATAGGGGTAACTTTTTTCGCTCATGTTATGAATCCAATAGTTATAGTTTGACGTTAGAAAAGTTGTGTAATCTGTGGGCCTTAATGGGTTTAAAAAAATCGATTTCGTCCCATATATTTCTAATGTTTGTTTATGCACTCCCAGTAGGCAAAAAAACCATGTTCGTTCTAAAAACGTTTTAGAACGTTCCATGTCAGCCTAGAAATGTTCTAAAACATTATTTGAACATCCATGTTCTTAAAAGGTTTCAGAACATTATTTGGCTCAATTGAAAAAAATATTCATTTTTTACAGTGCAAAGGGTTAACCCTTTGAAGCACAGCGGTACACCAGTGTACCACCTACTTAGATTATAGTATATGGCGAAAAAATTTGTTAAAACCTGCTTGGATTCGCTTAAAATTCAGTATTCGGTGGTTTTAGGGGTCGCTGATTACGAATCTGCTGTCAGTTTTTCAAAATTCAAAATGGCGGATCCAATATGGCGGACTTTTTTTAAAAAAATCGTTCGTATTTGCTTGAAACTCTCTACTCGGGGGTTTTTGGGGTCACTGATTACGAATCCGAGGTCAGTTTTTCAAAATTTAAAATGGCGGATCCAATATGGCGGACTTTTTTTAAAAAATCGTTCGGATTTGCTTGAAATTCAATACTCGGGGGTTTTTAGGGTCGCTGATTATGAATCTGATGTTAGTTTTTCAAAATTCATAATGGCGGATCCAATATGGCGGACCATTTTTTACAACTTGCTTGAATTTGCTTGAAATTCAGTACTCCGGGATTTTTAGGGTCGCTTATTACGAATCTGGTGTCAGTTTCTTCTTTTCGGATCTCATAAAAGTTACTTGTAAAGATTGTTACCCAGCTCTAAAGGTAATGTCCTAATAATCAGCCAGTCGGTGATTTTTCAACAAAACTGTTTCATACTTATCTCAAAAACACTTCTGCTTTGATCGATGACAGATTCATTCGTGACATTGTTGTCTAAAATACATTAAAATATTCTGTGTTACCATTTATTGACTTTCTGTCCACTTTAGCATATCAGATTTATCTACGTCATAAATGTGCTCACTGTGATCTTCATCACATCAAAATATTTTTACATTGCCATCTTTGCTTGTTCAATTAGCATTTGAGGCAATGAAGAGATAATGAAAATTAGGCAAATCGCAATTGAGATAGTTTCTAACGCTTCCATTGAATAGTACTTCTCCTTGTTTATATGATATTAGTAATTTCTTGAGAGTATAAAATGTTATCAAAGTTCTTATATTGGTAATTACCAGCAAAAGTTTGATCAAATTCGTTAGCATTCGTTTTTCCAGATTATCTTCTTTTCCATAATTTTTATCCTTTTTTTCTGTCACTGACTTACAAAAGTACTATGATCAGCTCTAACCCACAATTTATAACCTAACTAAGTTTGTTTACTTCGTAAATACTGCTTCATCAAACTTCGTCCTCTAAACTTTACCATACTTTCATGTATTTGCTGTTTTTTATTAGGATGCTAATAGTTTTGAAAAATTCTGGACAAGATGTTCTTATTTTGTACGTCATACCATATGTTGGATAAGTTATTTTACGTTCCTTTCAGTCGTAACTGATATATAAATGTGTGAAAAGAAAATTGAACCTGCTTGCACTCATATATACATATATATATATTATATATATATACAAGTTCCTTAGTTGACACCTCAAACATAAGTCAGTTCGATAAGAAGAAAGCTTCTTTACATCCGTCAAAATGTTTATCCTGAATAAAGTATTTCCTTCCTTGCTACAGATTCATGTTGCCTTTTCTTTTTTAAAATGAATTTGTTGTATGAACTATATAAATCAACAAAGTCCAGTGGGAAGAGAAAAAAGAGTATGTATAAAGGTGGCTTCTTTGAATCAAATATGTTTGATCCACTAATTTTCGCCAATGAAACAATAGTTTCTAATCATTCTCAAGATTTCCAATCGTCATAATTTTTATCTCGTCTCTTGTCACTCTGGTAACAATGGAGCACTGCATTTTATTTTATGGAAATTCAAAGACATTTTCAGTTGAAATCCAATGACTGTATATATACTGTACTTTCCTAACTTTAGTTTATTGAATATTTTTATACAGTCATTTGTTTCGTACATAATAGTGCAAAGAAATTTAATGCTGTATTGCTTATTTCACTATTTTTAATTCATTGAGTTTCGCAAATCAAAATGAATATAATAGATACTGAAATACCAAGTGATAGTGAATCAGTCGATGGACTTGTTGAATCTGAGAATGAAAATGTTGAATCGGATAATTTAATGGATAATACAACCCCACCTGATACGAATATTGATGAAGTGACAGACAGTGATAGTGATAGTGAAGGCGACAGATTACTTGATAAAAATGGTGACAGTTGGAGACGTCGTGGATGCTTAGAAACTAAAGTTCCATTTACGAAAATTAGTGGACCAAATATACCCGATTTAGCAAAAACACCATTGGATATATTCTTTTGCCTCCTCCCAACGGAATTCGTAGATTTACTTGTTCATCAAACAAATCTTTATGTAAATCAAAAAGATAATTCATCAAAAAAGACTAAAAAAGCGAAGAGTGAACCTGTAACAAGGGAAGAAATACTTACTTTTCTAGGTATAAATATTTTGATGGGTGTAAAGAAGCTTCCTTCTTACCGAGATTACTGGTCTTTGAATTATCAACTGAGAGACACATATATATCTTCAGCAATGAGTGTGAACAGGTTTGGGTTTCTTTTAACACATTTACATTTAAATGATAACAGTAAAGAACCTAAAAGAGGTCATGCAGCATATGATAAGTTGTACAAAATAAGACCACTTGTAGAAATCTTATCGAAAACTTTTCAAGATTGTTGGCAACCTAGTGAAAATCAATCGGTTGATGAAAGTATGGTAAAATTCAAAGGACGCAGTTCGATGAAGCAATATTTACCTAATAAACCAATCAAACGAGGTTACAAAATATGGGTTCGATCTGATCAAAGTGCTTTTGTATGCCAATTTCAAATATATACAGGGAAGGAGAAAAACTCTAAAAAAGAAGATAATCTGGGCAATAGAGTGGTAACGGATTTGACCAGAACTCTTGTTGGTAATTACCATCGTGTGTATTTTGATAACTTTTTTACTGGAAAAGAATTAATGATTTCATTAAAAAAAGACAAAATTCTAGCCTGTGGAACAGTTAGATCAAATCGCAAAGGTTTACCAAAAGATTATCAGCCAGACAACAAAATGAAAACAGGTGACAGCGAGTTTCGCTCAAGCTCAAGTGGCATAGGATGGGTGAAATGGAAAGACAACAGAGCTGTCTATGCTTTATCTAACTTTCACGATCCCTCGAAAGTCTCAGATGTCAATCGGAAAAACAAAGATGGCAGTATAAACGTTATATCATGTCCTAATATGATAAAAGATTACAATCAGCATATGGGTTACGTAGACAAGTCGGATATGCTGAAATCACTGTACGAAATCGACAGAAAGTCCAAAAAATGGTGGCACAGGATATTGGATATTGGACACCACCTACCAAACAGGGCAGAAAACCTCTTCCTAAAAATTTCACGGGTCATAAAATGCAGATTCCTGACGACATGCGATTTTCTGCAGGACCACATTTGCCAAAAGCTTTACCTGATAAAAGCCGTCGAAGATGTACACTTTGTAGCAGCAAAGAAAACCAAAACGAACATCATGGATTTGCTCTACATGCGATGTGCCTTTGTGTCTCAACTTAGAGAGAAACTGCTTCTCTTTGTTCCACACTAAATAATGTTTCCTGCTTTTGATTCAGTCTAGTTTTATTTATTCAATTATTCATAATTATTAATTTATTTCTTAAAAAAACAATAAAAAAAATTACAAACAAAAAAAGATCAAAACAAAAAAATTAAAAAAAAATAGAAAATTTAAAAAAAAAAATGGAGACAACAACCGCCACATCTTCGTTCGTGTCTCTGGGTTCGGCTGAGAGAGGTTTACAACAAAGTCATATCAAAGGGAATTCAAGCTCTCTAAATACAAAATTTCCTGACAATTAAAAATATTTTAAAAACAATTTCGCCATATTTATGATTTTTGAAAAACTGACATCAGATTCGTAATCAGCGACCCTAAAAACCCCCGAGTATTGAATTTCAAGCAAATCCGAACGATTTTTAAAAAAAAATTCGCCATATTGGACCCGCCATTTTGATTTTTGAATAACTGACATCAGATTCGTAATCAGCGACCCTAAAAACCCCCGAGTATTGAATTTCAAGCAATATCGAACGATTTTTTAAAAAAGTCCGCCATATTGGATCCGCCATTTTGAATTTTGAAAAACTGACCTCGGATTCGTAATCAGTGACCCCAAAAACCCCCGAGTAGAGAGTTTCAAGCAAATACGAACTATTTTTTAAAAAAAGTCCACCATATTGGATCCGCCATTTTGAATTTTGAAAAACTGACATCGGATTCGTAATCAGTGACCCCAAAAACATCCGAGTAGAGAGTTTCAAGCAAATACGAACGATTTTTAAAAAAAAGTCCGACATTTTGAATTTTGAAAAACTGACCTCGGATTCGTAATCAGTGACCCCAAAAACCCCCGAGTAGAGAGTTTCAAGCAAATACGAACGATTTTTAAAAAAAAGTCCGCCATATTGGATCCGCCATTTTGAATTTTTAAAAACTGACCTCGGATTCGTAATCAGTGACCCCAAAAACCCCCGAGTAGAGAGTTTCAAGCAAATACGAACGATTTTTTAAAAAAAGTCCGCCATATTGGATCCGCCATTTTGAATTTTGAAAAACTGACCTCGGATTCGTAATCAGTGACCCCAAAAACCCCCGAGTAGAGAGTTTCAAGCAAATACGAACGATTTTTTAAAAAAAGTCCGCCATATTGGATCCGCCATTTTGAATTTTGAAAAACTGACATCGGATTCGTAATCAGTGACCCCAATAACATCCGAGTAGAGAGTTTCAAGCAAATTCGAACGATTTTTAAAAAAAGTCCGCCATATTGGATTCGCCATTTTGAATTTTGAAAAACTGACAGCAGATTCGTGATCAGCGACCCCAAAAACCCTTATATGTGTTTATGTAATTGAAATTCATCCATGTCAAAAATTCGTGCTTCAAAGGGTTAAAACAAATTTTTGTTAATTGTTAGTATAAGTTATCATAACATCACTGTTAGTAAATAATTATTATTTAAAATTAATAGCAATAATTTTAAAATTTATCTCTTTTATATTATATATAAAGGATATATATGGGACGTTTCGCGCCAACCGGGCCACCCTTCCCTGCAAAATTGAGAGCTTTCAAAGTTATCGCTCATACCCGGAAATTATTGGTATACATAAGTACTTTCGAAAACTGTCTGGCCTTTTGAAACTCCAATAAGGTGGCTCCAATATAACCTATAAACGCACCTTAAAACGTGAGATGGGACATAAACTTATGCTTAAAAATAAATATGATGAAGAAAACATCTCTGTATTAACATCAAAATTAGCACTGGGTAGTATATTTTGCTTACCATAAGCGAAAACTAAAAATTTATAAAATTCAAAATGGCCGATCCAATATGGCGGATGAAAAATTCTTAAAAGTCATCAGATTCGGTTAAAACTTGTTACTCAGGGGTTTTCGGGGTCGCTAATAACAAATATGATGTCAATTTTTCAAAATTAAAAATGGCGGATCCAATATGGCGGACGAAAAATGTTTAAAATTGAGAAAATCTCACGAAAATCATCATTCTGGTGTTTTCATGGTCTTTAAAAATGAATTGAATAGTAGTTTTTCAAAAATTAAGAGACAAAAAAATGAATTAAAAAAATTGAAAATTTCACACAGAGTTTACTTTATATTTTTTAATTTTGATAATTTATTATATTTATGTTATTTTATAGTTCTTCCTGAAAATAAACTACAAGTTTACGATACTCTGGTGCTAAAAGCACTAATTGTACGATTAAACGAACTTACCTGAAGTGAAGTTCAATCGTAATTATGCAAGTACGTCTCGTCCGAAAAGATCACACATGTAGTAACGCTAGTTGCTCGATTCCATCCACAGTTTTTCAAAGCTCGCGCTCAAATTTTTTCCCCCATTCACCACTAGGGCGCGTCCGATTCCCGTCCTGCCATTACGCTTTTTTGAGATTATAAATTCAAATTGCGAAAGGGTAACGGGTAGGGAGGGAGTGATCTTTTCGGACGAGACGTACTTGCATAATTACGATTGAACTTCACTTCAGGTAAGTTCGTTTAATCATACAATTATGCTACGTCGTCTCGTCCTCAAGATCACACATGTAGTTATTTAAAGCAATAATAGCAATTTGAGTAGTTTATTAGAAAATTTATTTTTTCGAATTGTTCAAGACAACTGAAGCGAAATCACAGGTCGTGTCTCTGACTGGCCTATTATAAAACGAATTAAACACATTAGATTTCTGGGACCATCCTGCAGAGTGTCTAATTAAATCAATATTAACGCCCTTTCTACAAGCAGCTGACGTAGGAGCGTGTCGAGTACTGTAACCGGAGAATGTGTTAACGTCTATACCACTTTTTTCGAGAGTCTGTTTTATCCAGCGACTTATTGTTTGAGAAGTGGCTGGATGATGCGGTGCTTTAAAGGTTAAAAATAAAATATCTTGACCGTCAGTCCTGAGGGACTTAGTTTTATCTATATAAATCTGTAGCAGGCTAGCCACACATAGGCTAGGTTGCTCTTGAAAGAACGGAAAATGTAGCATCGGTTGAGACGAACCTATTCGGGAAGTTTTAATTCTATCAGGGATGTAAATTTTAACTGTTTCATCTAAAATCTTGATATTACTTAGCTTAATTTTTGTTAGCGTTTGTAACCGTTGTGCCGTTGTTAAAGCTAATAAAGTACATAATTTTTTGGATAATTTTTCTAAATTTAACGTTGAATTCGGATTTTGGTTTGACAAATAATCTAAAACGGGCTGCGGATCCCAGATGTCGTTGTACTTTGCCTTCAATGGCTTGAGAATGGAAGAACCTTTACAAAATCTCTTAACGGTTTTATCACTACTTAAATCATACGATAATATCAGCGATAGTGCAGATCGGTAGGTGTTGACTGTCCCGTAAGAGTTGGCACTATCCGATACGCTAGTCAAAAACTTCAAAATTTCTGCAACAGGAGCATCAAAAACTGAAATTTTTGCTGTTTGGCAGTAATTCCACCATTCTCGCATTGGCTTCTCATACTGTTTGTACGTGGCGTCGGATAATGAAGCGATGATTGTTGGTAGAGAAGACTCAGGTGTTCCTTTGTTTAAAAATCCCTGCCGGACAATTTCCCTGCAGCTAGTGTAAGTTTCTCCGCTAAAGGGTGTGTCTCGCTGAAAGGAAAGATCAGTAATTTATCGTGTGGTTCTAAGATTAAAATATCACATTGAAGCATAGATTTAAATAAGGGGAACCAAGTCTGTGTAGGCCAGTATGGAATGACAACAACTCCTTCGGCTTTATCGATAATTATTTTCTGTAGGACTCGAAGAACCAAGGAAAAGGGTGGAAACGCGTAAAATTTATATGAAGACCAGTCCATTGTAAACGCATCAACTGCGAAAGAGTCTGGGTCCTGTTTCCAGGAAATAAATCTTTGGCATTTAGCGTTCGCGGAAGACGCGAATAAATCTACTTCGAAGGGACCAAATTTATTTTCTAACTTTTGGAATGCCCATGGGGCTAATTCCCATTCAGTTTCTTGAGGTAATCTGCGGGATTCGCGATCAGCTTCAAAATTTTCTCGCGACGAGATATAAGAAGCAAAAATCCAGAGATCACGTTCCTCACACCACATCCAGATATCTTTACATAGTTTGTTTAATTTAGGGAATTGAATACTACCCATTTTGTTAATATAAGATATCGCGGTTGTGTTGTCAATTCTGAGTAGAATGCTAGAAGAACGCAAATTCCCTGCAAAGCATTTTAACCCGTTAAACGCTGCAGTAAGCTCTAAATAATTTATGTGATGTTTTGATTGATCCTTATTCCACCAACCGTGTGATTTATTCCCATTGCAAACTGCCCCCCAAGCTGTCATGGACGCATCCGAGAAAATTTTGATCTTAAAATTTTTTGGCAGAATAGAGTTATTGGTAGAAGAAATATTTTTCAACCACCAGTGGACATCGGGTAGAACTGAATTTTTTAATGACATTCGCTTATCAAAGTTGCCCTTATGATTTGTCAGGGCCAAGAATTTTTCTCTTTCTAAATTTTTTGTATAGAGAAGGCCATATTTGACTGCTGGAGAAGCAGATATAAGTGTACCTAAAATTTCTGCCAGTTCCCTAATTTTAAATTTTTTGCTGTCTAGTAACTTTTTTATTCTGTCGCGTATCGAATCTTTTTTATTTTCAGGAAGTTCGAGTTTCATATTTCGTGTTTCCCAGATAAATCCTAAAAATTTAATTTTATTTGAGGGTTTAAGAACCGATTTTTCTTTATTAATAATAAATCCCAAGCTCTCTAATAACTGGCAAGACGCTTGAATATTTTTTAAACAATCTGCTCTAGATTTTCCAATGAGCAAAAAATCATCTAAATATATTACGGAGAGAAAGGAACGAGATCGAAGGTATTCTGCTAATGGCTTCATTAGTTTCGTAAACACGAATGGTGCTGTACAAAGGCCAAATGGAACGCAGCAGAATTCATAGAGTTGTCCCTGAAATTCAAACCTTAAAAATTTCTTATAATTATCTGCCACTGGAATTAAATTAAAAGCATCTTTTAAATCTAATGAAGCTAAAAAGGCATTTTTAAAAATAACTCTAGAGACCGTTTTCCGATCTTCTAGTTTGAAGTGAGGAGGATTGATAAAAACATTTAAAGGTTTAAGATTTAGAATAAAACGTTTTTCTCCGTTTGATTTTTGGGTTAAAAAATATCGAGAGATGAACTGACCTTTAGACGGTTTACATTTAGAAACCGCACCTTTCTTTTCTAATTGTTTAATTGCCTTTTTGTAATCCATTTCCTCCTCTTTTGGAATTATCATTTTTGGAGGTTGATTTTGATAAGGTATTGATGTAAAAGGGATTTTATACCCTTTTAGATATTGCAGGATTACAGGATCCGTTGTCATTCCATACCATTCAGTAATAAAATATTTTAATCTGCCTGCTACTTTACTTACTTCGTTTACTTCCGTGGTTTCGAGAAGTACTGGTTCCGCGGCGGGAATTTGCCTCTCTGCCCTCCCGGTTGAGTTGTCCTGTAACTCCCCCTGGGAGGGCCCCTGAAGTTTAAATTACGTGGTTCGTTCTCTCTAGTGTACGTCGTACCTCTCTTAAATTTGGATGATTGACTCGTGTATGTCGATTTAGGTTTTGCAATATCCCTGCCAATTTTTTGCGCCGCTCTCGCTGATTTCAAACGTTCCGAAAAACTCTCGCCGAATAATAATGAGTCTACTTCGCTATCGTCTGCTACGTTTTTGACAACCAGATCCAGACCAGGAAGAATGAAGGACCGTCTCGTAAGCGATGTTTTATAATGCAGATCTGTGAGTAATCTACCAGCGTCTGCTAAAAGACTTATTAATTTATTGTGTTCAGGGTCATCACTGCCTTTTTTGAGAAGTTCGGATAAAGCTAATCCCAAAGCAGCAATACCTGAACCTAATTGGTTCTGCGAAATAACCTGAAAATTGTCCTTTTTTAATCCAGTCTGACCCATAACAGTCTTTACTTCAACGTTTAGTTTCGGCGCTTGAAGTGTTTTGCAATTTGCAGAAGCTGGATATTTGTCCATAAGCTCCTTTCTTGAATCTTTCGAGAGACCCTTTTTTAGTATATTACTCCATACTTCCGATAAGGAAACATGGATGTCAGGACCGAACTTCGCATTTTCATCGACATTACCCAAAAGATTTAAAGTTTCAATTTTTAAACTGTCATCTTTTGTTTTGGTTTTAACTTTTTGCGAGGAATTAGAGGAACTCGATGACGAGGACGAAGAAGACGATGAGGAAGAAGAGCTCGAACGTTTGCGCATGCGGCGTGGCGTAGCAGAATGGGAACGAGAACTGTCATGGCCTCTACGATAACGATGTGGCGTACCTCTCCGGTCACGCTCAGTATCGCTTATTGTACCCTCATTCGAGTAGGAACGAGATCTGTCGCGGGGTCTGTAATCGCGACGTGACGCACCTCTCCGGTCACGCTCACCGTCACTTTTTGTTCCTTCCTTCGAGTGGGAACGAGATCTGTCACGGAGAGTGTGATCGCGACGTGACGCACCTCTCCGGTCACGCTCACCGTCGCTTTTTGTTCCTTCCTTCGAGTGGGAACGAGATCTGTCACGGGGTGTGTGATCGCGACGTGACGCGCCTCTCCGGTCACGCTCATCATCGCTTTTTGTCCTCTGATTCGAGTAGGAGCGAGATCTATCATAGGGTTTTTGATCGCGACGTGACGCACCTTTCCGGTGACGCTCGTCGTCGTTTTTTGTCTTCTCACTTAGATAGGAACTTGATGACGAAACTCGTTTGCTTCGCTTCCTATTCTTTTTTCTTTTACTATGCTCGCGGCGTGGTTCTCGTTTGTGACGCGAATCAGACTTTCTGACCTTCTTTCGTAATCTGTTTATTTCTTCGTACAGCTGATCAATATTTTGATCCGGAGGTCTTTTTCTTGATTTAACTGATCGTTCGCGACTACGCGATTCGCGTCCCATTACTAAAACGATTTCGAATTATATTTAAAACTGTTAAATTTGTTAGACGATAATTTTCGTGTGTGAACAGAATCGCACAGAAAAGCGTAATGGCAGGACGGGAATCGGACGCGCCCTAGTGGTGAATGGGGGAAAAAATTTGAGCGCGAGCTTTGAAAAACTGTGGATGGAATCGAGCAACTAGCGTTACTACATGTGTGATCTTGAGGACGAGACGACGTAGCATAATCAGTTTATTTTTAAAGACCATGAAAACACCAGAATGATGATTTTCGTGAGATTTTCTCAATTTTTAAAATTTTCGTCCGCCATATTGGATCCGCCATTTTTAATTTTGAAAAATTGACATCATATTTGTTATTAGCGATCCCGAAAACCCCTGAGTAACAAGTTTTAACCGAATCTGATGAATTTTAAGAATTTTCGTCCGCCATATTGGATCCACCATTTTGAATTTTAGAAATTTTTAGGTTTCGCTAATGGTAAGCAAAATACACTACCCAGTGCTAATTTTGATGTTAATACAGAGGTGTTTTCTTCATCATATTTATTTTTAAGCATAAGTTTATGTCCCATCTCACGTTTTTAGATGCGTTTATAGGTTATATTGGAGCCGCCATATTGGAGTTTCAAAAGGCCAGATAGTTTTCGAAAGTACTTATGTATACCAATAATTTCCGGGTATGAGCGATAATTTTGAAAGCTCTCAATTTTGCAGGGAAGGGTGGCCCGGTTGGTGTGAAACGGCCAAAAGTGGAATGAAAGGTGGCCGCACAAATTGTGCTGTGGCCACTACTGGTGAAAAAGGACATCTGAAGCACTTTAATTTCTTAACAATAATAAATAGAGTTTAAAAATAGTTTAGATTACAATAATCAAATTAATAATATATATTAGACTTGATAAAACAAGTTGTAAATTCAGATGTTCATTACATGAACATTTTGCTTCCTCTTTACGATCAGCAAAAAAATTTGCTTTCTCGTGGAGAAAGCATTAACATTGAAATAAACATACAAAAATAATATAATAATATAAACATTAGAGTACCTATACATTTGAGTAAAATTTAAAGAATTAATGGTTGTTAAAAAATCAAAAATTCACATTTTAACCGAAATTTCCAAATATTAATGAAAAATAAAATATATAATTTATAATTATTTACAATTATATCGATTCGTTTTAATGCAAGGAACACAATTATTTTATATTTAAACTTGAATTTAAATAAATATAAAATTTTTCATCTAAAATGTGTATTTTCTATTTTTTAACTTTCATTAATTTTTTAAATTTACCTCATATGTAAATTTTATATATACCAATCGATTCGTTTTCATGTAAGGAATAAAATTATTTCATCTATAAACTTAAATTTAAATAATCACAAAATTTTATAGCCAAAATGTGAATTTTTGATTTTTTAACTTATATTAATTCTTTAAATTTAAATTAAAACTATACTTTATATATACTGATCAATTTGTCTTGACATAAGGAATACGAGTTTATTATATATAACCTTAAATTTTTCTATTTAAAAATTTTTTCGATTAAAAAAAAAATTTTGGAAAAAAGACGATAAAATTTTTTTTGGGTATTCTTTAAAATCCTTTGGTTAGATGTGAGATATTAATATGATAAATGAGCCTACCAAATTTTATCTAAATCCATTAAAACATGTTAAAGTTATCTTCTAAACAAAAAAGGGATCCACTCACACAAACACATACACACACATACATCCGGACAATTGATCAGGATCTTATATAACATGTTTCTATATAGAGAAAAATTTGTTTCCGACACTTTGAAAATTTTTACAAACGATAGGACTACAAAGCTTCCTCCACGAGGAAGCAAAATGAAGTATAATTGAATATAGTGCGTTAATGTATTTATTTTTTAATAAAAGATAACAAATCGTTTAAAGTGTCCATAAACGGTACTTCTATCCTACATGTACTACAATAATATATTACATTTTCATTTAATTCCCACCTAATAAAAAAAATTGAATTTCGATAAGACAAATTTTAAAATAACTTTTTACTAACTTAAGTTACTTTGTAAGTAACTGTAACTAGTTACTTTTTTATAAGAGTAACTGTAACTAGTTACTAAAAACAAGTAACTTACCCAACAGTGTTACTGACTTATTGAACATCTGAGCAGAAAATAGTGTCTTTAAAGGACTTTTTACAAATAAAGTGTCATTAGTGGAAGTTTTTTTTGAAAATAGTAGCTAAATAGTGGAATCAACTGAAAAAAGTGGCAATAGCGGCGTGTATCCGAGACCTGAAGTTTGTATTTACATGACATTTAAAATTTTTTTAAATAATTTATAATTGTTATTGTTTAACTATTTGCAAATAGACCAAGGTGAATAACGTTACACTAAAACCCCGATCTCTGTGTCCCCGATCGGTAGGCTGCTGTTTACAAAGTTCGTGGATAAAGTAGGGCGCAGGGAAAAGAGGAATCTGTTGTACGACAGCAGAGTTGTACTAATGTCTTTCGTTTGAAGGCGCTGTTGCCCCTTTTAGTTTTTACTAGTGAAAAATATGTATTTAAAGAAAGGCCTGGAAGCATAAAACAGTTCGCACGGCCCTTTTGTTTTCATTTCGATAGCCCCGATCGGTGGGTTACCATAACCAAACCGACCTAGCGATCGGGGTTATAGTGTATTTCATAATTTTTAAATTTTTATTACTTGTTTCTGTAAAGAGGGAACCAAAAGAACAATTAATAAATAAAAATTTTAAAAATTGTTTAAACTATTTTTGGTTTTCATAACATTTATAAAAATATACATCCAGTTGCATTTTTTCTTAATTTTATGACACATCTTTCTCACAGATATATTTAAGAATAAATTAAGAAATATTTTAAAAATTTAATGAACAAAATATTGTTAAAATTATTCTCAATATATACTTAGAGAGCTGCAAAAATTAAATAATTTTATATCATTTAACGATTAGAAAAATTACTAATCAGGTCTAGCTATGGAATATAATAATTTTAATGAATATATGAACAATGTAAATTTATTGTTATGTATGTACCGCGTAATTATAGTTGATCAAAGTTCAAATTTCATGCAAATTTTGATGATTTTGAGATACCTGTCTAACATCTGTTAATTTTTTCTAATCCAAGCAATAAAAAAGTTCATGTTTTAAATTTTTTATCCGTGGTTTTTTTAATTACGAAAATTTTGAGCCCAAGTATAGAACAATCGGATAAAAAATAAAAATTCTACACTACATTTAGTGAACTAAACAATTTATTCTATTTTGTAAAAAAATGTTTTGTGCAATAAATCAATTCCAATTTCGTAATTGTTGAATTAAAAAAAAAAAAGTTTGCAGTGAGATTTGCAGCAAAAATACAAACTATATAATAAAGTAATACGTATTTTTTAAATTATTTTTATTAATATTTAGAGGTCGCGCTAGTTAGTTTTTCAGGAAAAAATAGATTTTTACCATTATTGATCTGTTACGGTGGTCACCCCGTGTAATGGCACTTATTTTTGTCAATTTTTGCGATTTAAAAAAAACTATAAAAACATAGAACTTCAAATTTTTTACTGGACATTTAGTGACATTTCAACAACAATTACAAATAAATTCAAGTAAAATTACTTTAATCTTTTCGACTTATATTACAAGGAAGTAACTTTAATTTTTAGACAGTTGTTCATCAAAGTCCACGATTCCGGCTGATTGACTGATCCAAAATCAAAAAGTAAAATAGCATTTTAATCTGCAGAGCTGTAGCTATCTCCGGAACTAGGATTATTGAAAATTGAATTTTTTATTCGGTATTAAAATTTTTTTTCAAAAAATTACGATTTTTTGTGTCTATTTTGTCGTATCAAAAGAAAACTACTTGACCTTTTTCAAGAATCCTAGTTCGGGCGATAGCCACATATGTGCTGAACATGCCCTGTAAAATGGATCAAAATCGGTCAAGTGGTTTCTGAAATATCATGTACGCCAGTTCGAAAAAAGTAGTTCCGAGAAAAATTATTCAGACCTTTTACAAATTTATTCTCATAATATCACCAAATGTGGACGTTGTGTAAAATAAATAGATTTGGGCCATTCTCTGCCAAACGGACAACCGTTTGGCCGAAATTGATTTGATATTAAAAAATCAAACGATACATGAAATTGTAGTTTAAGATGTCTAGTTTTATTTTCCGTTTGGCGTTTTTGAAAATATAAATATTACGCCTGCATTAAAAAAATGCAAACAAAAAATATAATTTTTGTTGTCAAAGCTTCAAAAATCAGTTGAATTATTCAGACAATGTATATTAAGGGCTTCTGGGGATCACTGGTTACGAATATGATGAATCTGAAGTTAATTTTCAAAAATTAAAAATGGCGGACGATATTCTAAAATTTTATCAGATTTGCCTGAAGCTTTTTCTCGGGGATTTTTGGGGTCGCTGATTACGAATTTGAAGTTAGTTTTTAAAAATTCAAAATAGCGGATCCAAAATGGAGCCAAAAATATAAAAATTTGATCAGATTTGTCTGAAACTTTTTACTCCCCAAATAGCACGGAAACTTGCAGCAAGTTTGCTGTAAGTTTGCAGTGCAAGGTGTGAAAGCTTGTAAGGTAAGTTTGCAGCAAACTTGTGGCAAATATTGAAATCTCCAACCTTTGCAAGTTTGCAACAAACACTTTCTGCAAACATGCTAAGCAAAATTGACGAAGAGTTTCAAGAACAATTTGTAGCAAAATTGGGCAAAAAATTTTTAGAAATTTTAAAATGCAATTTTGAGTAAAATAAATATTTAATAGTTTTATGGAAAATTATTTTTTCAGTTTCTTTTCAATTTAAATACTGAAATCACAGAAAAGAAAAGGAGAAATAGCGAAACAAGTTACTAACATCGTGGCTAATACAGAAAACTCGCAAGTTTAAGTTAATTCTATTTTTTAATTAAATAATTTTCGAAAACATATATTTAAATACTTTTTAGCGGTAATAACAATTATGGTCATTGGATTTGTGTCTATTACGATGGAGTAAGGCTTTATATTTTTGATAGCCTTAATGAGGGGTGTTTAAATGTGCATAAAATAAAATATTTAATTAGATTGTTCCGTTTTAAACCAACAGTATTTTTTGTAGCTATTG